CCCCAAAACCCCAAAACCCCAAAACCCCTTACTCATGAATTAAGCATTAAAAGTAATTGAGCTAACTGTATAATTAAAGAGTGAGTTAATTTATAAAAATCTGGCAAACTTACATCTGCATGAAAAAGTGTTCAACTGATGTTTTATTTTAAGAAAATTTAATTGTTTGTAGGAATCAATTGAGTACTGGGATGACTATATATTAATTTAATCCACATATTCCTTAACCATTTTACATTTTTATTCTAGCAAATCCTCTCTCGCCCCATCTAGTTCCATACTAATTCTTTATTATCCAATATTCTAAGCCCTTATCTAATCCATAACCTATTATTATCACAGCATGATTTAATGATGTACCACATTTTGTTGTTGTAATTATTCCACTTGAGTATTATCTGAAATAAGGTGATGAGGCATCCATTCCAACAGTGATAGGACCTTTAAGCACTTACTCCTTAATTAGTGTAGTGTTGTCTGTAGAAAAATAAATCTAACCCTTTATATTAATGATACCCTTATTGGCATCATATCTGCAAAGAGAGTCTTTACCAATATAGGGATAAGTAGATTCACTCTATATTTTGTTTTATTTCAGATAGGCAAAAGCGTAGTACATATCTCCGCCTCTGCATCCAGAATTTCCATAATAATTATCCGAACAATCAAGGAGCTGTTGCTCAGATAAGTCTATACCTTTAAATTTGTTTTTGTCCTGCAATAGAAGCAAACTCTCTAATGAAGCTGTAGATGCAAATGCATAGCAAGAGCCACAAGAACCTTAGTTTTTTATAGCTGTGACTATATTTGAATACCTCCAATCTAAAGATTGTGGCATAGCTTTGCTAATAGTTTTAAATGCGTTAGTATTTCCTAGATTTTTTAACTGATCAACTACTTGCTCGATCTTTTTAATATTTTTTACATTTTTCTAGGTTTTAAGTGTTAGTGTTTGTTTGTATTCCTATTCAGTTTGATCAGAGAAATAATTTTAAATAAGCTGGAAGTCTTTGTTTTCTTTGTTAGATTTCTAGATAAAGGACTTGTTATCAATGAAGATCTTAAGTCTCTAGACGAATGTCTAAAGATCTTAGTAATTCTTTAAGTTCGAAGCCAAGAAATTGCTGAATTCCAGTTTACTTTGATTATCAATATTTTAAAGATATAAATAGTCATCTAGGTAGGAGTCATATGTTGTGAACAAGAATATTGCAGAGACAACTCCTAATGTAAATGATATCAATAAGCATTTCTACGATTATAGAGCTAATTTAACTAACCTCATGATTATTATTTTACCTTGTTATATTTTTTATTTTTATTCTGATCCTTAAGACTTGGGGTTTTGGGGTTTTGGGGTTTTGGGG